CTGTATTAAAATAATATAATTACTGAAAATTAATATTATTCTGATTTGATAATGCAGCTTATCAACTGTATTTTGTTAAAACTTAAAACATTCATTTAATTACATGATTCACCTTGTCTTATATACTATTGACTAAAGTAAAATGTAAAGATTAGCAATGTGAGGGCTTCAAAAAAGAGTAATATTAGAAAGAACAATTAGCTGTGTGTTGTAAGAGAAGGCACATAGAACAACCCATAGAGTGGAATTACTCAGGAATTTTTTTTTAATTTTCCTGCTTCTTTCTTAAATGTCTGAGTTACTCAGTACTTCTTTAAAAGCTCTGGTGGTTTTAACAACTAGTGCTAAGGAATACTCTAAGGAACTTACCATGCTGGTACTTTTTGTTTTCTCTATATAACTTTTTAATATTTATAAGCATTTTATTGAATTGATCTCAGCAATAATACATTAACTAAGACAATAAATGGTTTAAGTAAGACTGAATTATTAAAATAGATCTAAAAAGAGACTGACAGATTTCCGGGCTTATATATAGAAAGATGAACTTGAGTCTGTCTAAAGAAATAGAAGTCATATTTACTTTATTTTTATATTTTCATGTAAACATGATAGTTGGTTATAGAAAAGAGCCAATTTCCTGGGTGAACTTATACTTTTCATAGTATCAAATTTTTTTGACAATGTAAAATTATCGTTTCATGATTTCTTCTCAAAGGTAAGGTTAGATTTATACCTTTTCTCACTATATAAACTTTTACTTTAAAAAGATTAAAAAACAAATGACATTTAAAGTCATTACTATAAAATGTTATATCTCAATATAAAAAGCCACATTTACAAGAAATTATATTTTGTTAAGTAGTCATACACTAACTAGCTTATAAAAAAATACAAGTTTCAGATCAAATATATTTGAATCATTTTTAATGAATACAAAATGATGAATGTTTAGCTTGATTTGTGTATAATTGATTATGAGTTCTTAATTCAATTAACATAACTACACATTCAATAATGTCAAATTGTTTACAGTATTTTTAAAAAGCAGTGGCCTTTTCCCAACGACAGCTAAGGAACAAATTACAAATATTGATTAGCATTTGAGTATTTTCTCCAACCAGGAATCTACTATTGAAGTATATCACCCAGAAAATTTCAAGTACATGTAATGATTGTGCATGCTTAAGTTTGGAGTTTCATTTTTTCTCCATGTATATGTACATGTGATTTTATATTTGACTTCAATTTATCAAGAATAATAGGGATAATTTTTGGTGGTTATTCCTTTTTTTAAAGAGGAATAGCTTCACTTATAAATATTTTTTTTCTTCTGGCCAAAAAGAATTCATGGTGGAATTTTAAACACAGCTTTATTAAACATTAAATTAAGCAAAAATATATCTCAGGGACAAGCAAAAAAAGCAATAAAAATGAGTATGTTTCCAGGTAAGACTTCTCTTAGAGGATTATGTTATAAAGTTCCTACTCCTCAATGAAAAGATTACTAAAGCTTAAATTTGTATTTGCTCAGAAAAAACTACCAAACAATGCACTATCATCAAAAGTCAACTCAAGAAGGGCACAGATGCTAGAGACCAATAAGGAACCAAGAGGGACAAGTTTAAGCTCTGGCCATGGTGGTTGAGTAGCTGAAAGTCACTTTCTCTTTAGACACAAACATGCTAGACTGAAAGCAAAGTCCAACTCCTACCTTAAACACTGTAAGAAGAAGAGAATGTGGAAACAAATCTTTAAGATAGTTTCCGTAGTAATTTCTTCATAGTCATTTAATAATGCCAGTTCACATTCTACAGTCTGTTGCTTGAAAGGAAATCTTCTACACAGGCATGAAAGCTGAAAATACCATGCCAAGTGAGATAACTCCTACCCTACAGTCACAGAAATAACATTCATGTGGTAACTATTTAGACTTTTTTTTCCCTCTACACATAATGAATTATCACAAAAGTTGTGATAAATTAATATAAAATCCTTTAAATCCAATATATTTGGGTTTCACAAAACTAACAGTACAGAAAACAAGAAAAGTACTGCTAAAATAAGAAAACACAAAGAAAGGAACAGAGCAGTACTTTCTTTTAAGAATTTTTAAAATATCTGATGAGCATGTGCAGGCCACATATGGAAAATTTAAGAAAGTCTAAGAAATGAGTTTGTAACCAATGTTAGTGAATGAGCAACATCACACACATGGACACTGGGTTGATGCACAATGTATTTCCCTTGATTTTTGACATGTTGAAACTTAGGTAGAGGCTTTCTGGTTTTGTTTGTTTGTTTGTTTGACACACTCCAACCACTCTTGTATTTCTTTGTTATTGGAACATATTAATTATAAACTATTGGGTTCCATTATGACATGCTAGTGTATGTGAATAATGTATTTTGATCATAACCTTCCCTATTTCTGGTCACTCTCGCCTCCCCACTAGTCCCTCCCTCTTAACAAACAGTCACTCTTCTACTTTCACATTTATAGCATAGCCTTGCATATGAGAGGAAATATTCTGGGTCTAGATTATTTTGCTAAGTAACTTGAAGAGCTCCAGTTCCTCCCACTTTCTTTAAAACATCACATTTTTCTTTTTACTTTATGGATAAATAATACTCCATTAAATATCACATTTGTCTTTATCCATTCATCCAGTGGGTACCTGGAATGTATCTGGAACCTGGCTGTAGTCATAATGCCACAGGGTATGCATATGAAGACTTTGATCCTTTCTGGTATAAGCCTGAGTATAGTATAGCCAGGCCATATGGTGGTTCTAGGTTTAGTTTTGAGGTACAGCCATACTGATTTCTCTTTTGGCTGCAAATTTACACCAGCAGTGTTTATTGTTTCTATTTTCCTGCATCCTCACCAGAATTGTGTATTTATGTGTGTGTGTGTGTGTGTGTGTGTGTGTGTGTGTGTGTGTGTGTGTGTGTGTTTCCAGTTTATAAAAAACACATTATGGGTGGCACAGAAAATAACACTTAACCTGTGTGAAGCAGTATTAGGCACCTGGCATTAGGTAATTATTAAAGCAAACATTATCTGGGCCTTTATTTTTGGGGGGTTTTCCAAAAGGAGGTTAATGGGTCTTCTTCCCCCACCATCCTCTCTCCCTGTCTCTTCTCATACTATAGGGGGTAGAGGCTTTCTGAATGGATGGATTCTCAAAAAGATAGCAGCAAAAATGCAAACCAAAAAAGAAAAGCATTCTTTGTTAAGTTTCACTAACATTATATATTATACTGATGTTCTTGATATATAAAACTAAAAGCCTTGCATAACTTCTAATCACAAACCACACCACAGACACAGAAGGCTATACACAATATAACCTTGCTAAATATTAGCCTCTGGAAATATTTCATGATATTATAATTTAAATGCAAAATAATTTTCTTTGAAATGGGGTAAGAATGTCCTATAAAAGATGTTCTCTTTATAACCAAATAAATAGAATATTTCAGTTAATGATGACAGGATATATAGTGTCTAATTATGTACTCAGATTTAAGATTTTTTTATGTTTTTGAAGATATATTATTACTATTACATTTTTCCTACTCAAAGATATCTTATGGGAACTTTATTAATTTTAGTATTTAGACATCATACATATAATGATATATTCATAACTGTTAAATATTTCTCTGTATAAATAAGTACATACACTTCTCTCCCTGTGTATGTGTCTAAATTATCTGCCTTCTTAAGAGCTATAATAGAGAAATACTTTGCTTATTTCAATTAGCAATATCCTCATTTTTCCCTGTGATATGTATTTCTCACTTGGCTTTTGGGATTTGCTGAAAATAGGAGCTGTTAAAACCTGAAGAAAACATTAATATACTCAATATAAATGCTAATAGTAATTTCAATAAGCACTTACTTTCATTTTAAGGCATCAATCCAATAGAGAACTATCTTGTGATTTGTTCTTGTCCACATGCTGGTAGTCGCTTTAGGGCGGCACTCATGGCTCTAAACAAAGGTGACTGCACCCCTCCTCATTTTGCGTTTTGTTCTTCTTTAACTGCTAAATTTCAGGGGAGACCACTTCTGTGTAGATATTAATAACTAAACCTTGCACTTATTGTACTGCTATTAACCTTTTCAAATAGATCTGCTCTTCTTTTGTAAGAGAGTAACAATACACTTCAGATTGTGTTGTGAAATGCCTCGATAAAATACAGTTTACTGGCTTTAAACAAAATCTTCAAGCTAATAAAAGGAAATGGAAAAATATTAACAAGACCTATGATAATTGAAAATGAATAGAATTTTGGGTCAGTAACCAGTTCTCTCGTGATTCACTTGAAAGTTTGAACCATGTCAAATGAAAATAAATCTAATAATTGCCTCAAGGATATGTGCATGTATAGGGATATTTAAAATTTAATAACAGTTATCACACATTTAGTATTATGTCTCCAGATTTCAGTTAAGTAACAAATGTTTCTGTCTCACAGATCTGTGTCTGGGGCTCTGAAGTACACAAAAGCACACAGAACACAGCTGCCTAGGCATCATGACCAGGCAGAACAGAACAAGCTGCTTTCACTTTTTTTCAATGAAATGATGACAGGCCATCCCAAAGTACAATGGTAAATATCCACACAGCTTTGGTATTTTCCCCAAATATCTGCACTGTAGAGATTCCATACAGTCTATTGTATCAGAATTCAGTTCCCTCAACCAAGAGTACAAACAAAGTCACATAACTTGTGAAATGAGGAGAAACGTCTCTCTCCATATAAGTATTAGACTGTATCTATATCTAATTGAAACATACTAGCCAAAGAAATTGTAAGTGAAATAATATTTTTTGTTAATTTTAACAAAATGTGCACTATTTAAGAGAATGTTTTAGAAATATTGTCGAAAAGTTCACTCATCCAGACTTGTGAGAATTTGCAATACATCCCTGAAAATATCTTGAACTATTGGGTTGCCAGCTTTAAAAAAAAATCAGTGGATATGGTCTGTTTACCTTATTACCATATTTATTGTTAAAGAAAGTAGGAGAAAAAAGAAAACAGCCCACATTTTAGCATAGTAGGCACATAAATTCTCAGTATTAATTTAATTTACAGATTTATAGAGGTCTTTAGTTATTTATAAGGAAAAGAATACACTATCTTCACCTGGAGTCTGTGGCTGAAATCCCAATGATGTTTATACAGGACTGAGGGAGTGTTAAAACAGTAAGTAAAATTAAGTGACAGCTGGAGAAGTCGCGGTATAATGTGCTTACATCTCTCTATACAAGTACATTCTGCACACGCCATGACTGTCTAAGTCTTTATACAGCATTACAGCATATTAACCTGCCATTTGGTGAGTCAAAAAGCAAATATTAATATATGATATATCTCTTCTGAAAAGTGCTATTACAGTGATCATTTGTATCAGAATGTCATTAGAGTCAAATATGATTTTTGTGACTGAAATGAAAAAATTCTAATTCTGTTATTTCAAGGAATCACAATAATGGTAAGTTTTCCACTCCATTAAAAAAAAAAACTAGCAAAAGTACTACCATCAACATAATCACAGCAGAGAGATCTTTTCTGATTACTTGTGGAAAACTATTTAGAACTATTTTTACATATGTACATATTTATAATAATGGAATTTATAATCATAGAGTAAAGGGGCATGACAGAAGTTTAATCTATTCATTTTCACGTTTTTAATTATGTGGAGTGAGGTATGTGCACACATATGTGAGGGTACTCATGGATTCCTGCAAGGAGTGTCAGATCTGGAGCTGAGGTCACAGGCACTTGTGAGCCACCGTGTGGATGCTGGGAACTGAAATCCAGTCCTCTGCAAGAGGAATATGTACTGTTAACCTCTAAGCTCTCTTCAGCCACCCTAAATTGTTCTTAATGTATTGGCAACACACACCACAGAAAGCATCTTAACAACTTTTCTTCAACTATTACAGTCTTTCACATACAGCTGCAACTGTCCCTAAGTTTTTCTCGAAATTTTTCAATGTATAAGTATTTAAGAAAACAGGTATCTTTTATTTCATTGTGTGGATGATATTCACACTTTAAAATTATTTAGATAATAAAGAAGATGTAACTGGAAGGGAATTAACAAAATACATTTATTGGCTTATGTAATAATTTTATTAAGGTTTATGAATTACTTTTCGTGAGGAAGTTTTTAATGTCAAGGCTGTCTTTATAGCGAATTCTGTTAATAAGATGCAGCTGTGACCCTGGTATTAATACAATCATGCAAAGCACATAGTAGAATCAATCACACTAGAAAAGAAAATCAAAAAGTTGAATGAGACAAAAGAACAGCAGGTATATTTTTTTTTGAGTTTGCTTATTTCAGAAGATGCCCCTTTTATTGATTTTGTGAACAGACCTCTTTTGCACTATATATACTCAAATACTGTACAAAATTGCAAGAAATGCCACTATTTGACTACTTAGGTTTCTACAAAAAACATCATCATGAAGTTGCGTTTAATTTTAAAAGTCAACTAATAACTGCTAATGTACGTGTCAGTCAAACGTAATTTGGTTTTGACAAAAACACACTGTTAACTTTAGCATGTTCCAGGGGCATAAATAATGTCTTTAAGTGCTAAAAGAAAAAATGAATTTTACCCATTAACAATCAGTAGTTATATAAAATTGAAAATTATGTTTTCTAATTTAGCTACATGGAGTGTGTGTGTGTGTGTGTGTGTGTGTGTGTGTATGTGTGTGTTTGTGTGACATAATCCATAATCTGTCAATGATGTTTTAAAGTTGTGGTTTAAAAATGTTCAACTCTTACCAAAACCTCTTCTGTTATACAAAGCTGCTGTAAATTCGAGTCAATGAAATTTAAAGTTGCAATTTACAAAAGCAGATTTATATTAATTCTTACCTGAAAGAGCTGCTTTCCAGACAGAAAAATGTGCCAACTAACTGCCCTTTCCTTTATAATTAGTGGCTTCTGATTCCTGATGAGAAGAAGCCTTAAGGCAGAATTTGCAGTAAACAGGAAAGAAGAGAATCATATAAGTGCTCATCTATACCTAGGACACCTATGAATTCTCATCACTTGGAGTTTTTGGCACAGCTTTCTAGTCTGACATGAATGAACTTTGTTCCACTGCAGACAAGATGGCTGCCTTCTTCCACTCTCCAGCACCAGAAAAAGTCAGCTGACAACATGTGCCTCGAAAACTAAGTCCATTTATCTTCGTTTTTATACTGTTAGGTAGTTTCCAATGATTGTAGTGAGCTGTAAGATTCAGTTACCACATTTAAATAAACTCTCAAGCTAAAAATATAATGACGCCTGTAACTGGTGACATTCCAATAGTTCTTAAATGTAAGCATAATCAACATCCTGTCATGGTGACTCATAGCTATTTGAGCTTGTCATGCTTGTAATATGTACATGGCTCTAGAGAGTCTACATAGTAATTAAAGGCTGTTTTCACATCTCTAGCTTCTCCATATGTGTGTCAAGCTTCCCATTACACTAGCAGTGGTTCTGAACCCTCCTGGAGGGATCGGATCAGACTTTCAGATATTCAGATATGCAGAACTCATATTTGAGTAACAATGCTAAATTCTGATCATCCTTAGGTAACAGTAGACATTTTTTTAGTGTAATATCTAAAACAAAGGTTTTGCAAAGGGTAACATAGGATTCTCAACTTTCATCATAATTAGAACATTAGGAAATAATTTGCGTGATCTGAAATCCACTTTAAACTAGGTCCTAAGGTAAATCTTTTTAAAAGGCAATGGTTCTTTTGGCACGGGATGTTTTCTGTCTGTATTTCCATGAGTTAGCAAATGCAGGTACCCTTTAAAGTTCTACTGGTAAGCTCTACCACTATATACATACTGTACATATTGGGACATAAATTAGCAGTTATTAGTAAGACTGTACATAGCAAAATAAACCAAGTGTAATGTTGCTATAGCCAAAATGTAACCAATGTCTAGACTCACGGACTGACCCCTAATACAGGCTCCCTGTTTAAATAGGTAGCCCAATAAACTAAATTAAATGTACCAAACAGAACTGGGAAAACTATTCTAGACATTCTGTCAATTTTGCTGACGCTGTTGAAGGTTTTCTTGGCTTCAGCTGGCTTGTTCTCTGGCTTCTTGTTGGGTTCTGGTGTCGTTGCACTTTTAGAGATGGTGGAGAGAACAGGATCTTTGGAAAGATTGGGGGCGTAGTTGGCGACAGCCACTGCATAGGCATTGTTCTGTATCATGACGGAACCTTTCTCTTTTTTCTATTGGGAAACACAAAAATTAATAGAGTGTGGGTTTACCATGCTTCTTAAAAATTTCCAACCTGTATTTTAAATTCTAGAAAAAAAGAAAAGATACTCAAATATGTATCATTTTTTGTAGAGAAGAGAAATTAGGAAAAGTAAATTGAACAGTCAGTAAATCCTAAAATCATTGAGTGAGAAAACACATAGAGCACAATACAGGCACCATTTTCCCAGAGAACCAATTTTTGTTGTTTACATGGAAAATGAACAGTAGAAAATGTAATTATTAATAAAATTTCACAATATTTTAATATTTTCATTCTTACAAGTCACTCACATATGGTTCTTTAATTAATGAGTGAAGAATTACGCCAAATGGAAGGATTTTAAAGAAAAGCTATGATCACCGACAATGAATGACCTCAATTTTTTCCACGGAGCAGAACTCCAACTCAGCTTATGGTAAACTTATAAGGCAATGTTTTAAGACTGCAAAAAATTGTGACTTAATGTAGATAGAAGTCTACAAATTGCTATTGTAATAAAAATATACAAATTCTATCTTTTCAGCTTCCCTAAACGCACCAACCCCTTTCAGTTTTCTTTTTTGTTTATTTGTTTGTTTGTTTGTTGTTGTTTGTTGAGATGGGTTTCTTTGTGTAGCTTTGAAGCCTTTCTTGGATCTCGCTCTATAGACCAGGCTGGCCTCGAACTCACAGAGATCTGCCTGGCTCTGCCTCCCGAGTGTTGGGATTAAAGGGGTGCGCCACCACCACCCAGCCCCTTTCTGTTTTCTTAATGAAGGATCCCCAGTTTCCGTATGGGTAGCTCTTGTCTCAATTACTATCACTTGCTCCAGACAATTCCCCTTTGTGCTCTTCTGGTTTGGCCTAACCCTGTTCAGTCTTTAGCCACTATAGCTACAGGGAGAGCTTTAGGAAACAAATTAGACCACACTACTCCTGTTCTTAAATCTCTCCAACAGTAGCTCATGGACCATGGAATACAAATAGCACTTTTAAACCATTCCTTTTTTGTGTTCACTACATACGAACCCCTGCGAAATAACTTTAGTTTTCCAAATATTTGCTTGCTAGAGTCATTCTTTCTACTCACCCAATTTTTCACATGACTAATTTCCTTTCATATTTTGCCCTGAATTTGAATATCGTTTCCATGGAATGCCTTGCCTATACACTAACCTTAAAATAATCTTTGTCTCCCACATTTTCACTCTCAGAGCACTTTAATTTGTGTCTATCATAACACTTATTGAAGTATATAAGCACTTTCTTTACCATGTGATTATTTAATTGGTATCTGTTCTCACTATACTCTGAATTCACTGAAGGCTGATGATCCATGTCTTATTGATCTTTGTAACCTCAGCACATGACATGAAACTTTTCCATAAATATCTTTCATGGGGTAGACATAGCATATATACGTGTGTGTGTGTGTGTGTGTGTGTGTGTGTGTGTGTGTGTGTGTGTGTGTGTGTGTGACAAATGGAACCTGAAAATACAAGTACTATTTATTGGTTATTATACAATATAAGTATATTGTGATTTATCTACATGCCAAAAAATGAGCCAGCAATGAGTTACATAAAAGGATAAAAGATATGAAGCAAGTTCCACTTTAGCTCCATGTTATTAGTTTAGAAATAAGGTCTAAAAGGAAGTTTTATGGTATGACAAGGATACCCATCTATGAAATGGTTGGGGGAAAAGTCACAGCAGTTAGAGGTGTCAGCTTTCCAAATTCTGCAATGACTTTTTGTCTGAAATTTTTGTTTGGAGTATTGTTTTCCATAAAATGCCCTAGTTGAGAATTATATCACTATGCCCACCTTCAAAAAGTATTCAACGATACAGGAAATGCATAGCACATGGCTCTGTTGTTATTTAAACTATATCTAAAGCCCACTAAAAAATATGACTGAGCTTAAAGGTTATGAGGGCCTTGAGAAAAAGCATTTGGCCACTCTCTGTTCTAGCTTCCGGTTGGATAAAAGGGAGAGACAATGATAAAAATGCTACACTGACTCTCTGTGATGAACAGTTGAACTAACATGTGCCGTGCTCACATTATGAAATAATTTTCTCCAAGAGAAGTGGAGTGATATTTGTTACTTACAATAATCTAGACAATGGTCACTGGTAAAAGACTGCATAGCCTTTTATTATTATATAATGTATTATGTATTTAGACAAGACTACAAAATCACTGAATGGAAAGACTCTAGAGTTTCATGGAAATAGAGCATTAAAGGTAAACTAGAAATTGTGGTATAAGAGTTAAGATAGTTAGCTTAAGATATATTTTGTTGCTGTAAGATTACAAATAGAAATGATATTTTAAGTTTTACCAATGGTTCTTCTCTCAATTTTAGGTGTATAAAGTTAATAGTAAAATCAAGAATGAATGAAAAAAACATATAAAATGTACATGTACATGAATAGCAAATAAACAAAACGCCTATGCCAGTGGTCACTACCCAAATAGCAGTCTGAGTATTTGTGTGGCTTTTTGTTTGTTTTGTCATAATACTGCAGATTCCTTTAAGAAAAAGAAAAAAGAGTAGCATTTCTAAAATGCGTTTGAAATTTTTATTGTCTCAACTGTAAAAGAAAAAGTGAATCTTAGTTTTCTTCATTATATATATAGAAAATTATGGCTTTAATAACTAAAGATAAATGCACAAATCCAGAGAAGGGCTAAGCATGAAACAAATGGCTGACTTGCCATCAAAACACTCTTTTGGAAGTTAGAAACTATACCATTTTCATATCAGCAGCAAGGAAAGTCTAACAGTCATACACCCTAGCTCTTGGCATGTGAACTCTAACAAGTTCACTGGATGATGTATAAAACCTCCATATGGTGCTCAGTCTCCTCTAATCCTAGCCACAGCATGCACAGCTTTTGCTGGCTGATGATATCTTGTTTAAAGAGAATGTTGTTCTTCTCAGTGCAGTTGAAAATAATGACGATTCTAAATAATTCTAAATGCTCTTCTTTGTTTAAAATTAAATATACATAGAGAAATATGTTATTGAGTTGATAGCAAACTTACAACATGAAGATACGTTAGGGAAATTAGATTCTCACTGACTAGGAGAACTCCTCTCTGATGACTAGCTTTTATAGTGATGGAAGATGCTAAGCATCCCAGTGCAGAAGAAATGACATGATGTGTCTCACCCAGCATTGCCCCTATATACTACAACACTAACTTCTCAGACAAGATGATATAAGGGTAACCAGATACTTTCTGATAGGGTCTGAAACCTGCAACACAAGAGGGGATTCATGCTTGGTATTTAAATTGGGGTTGGCAGGTGAAGAACTCATGGCCCTAGGGAGGAGCCTACTACCTTTACTTAGATCAATAATTATACTGTCAAACTGACTTCCAAATATACATGTTGATGCCCATAATTGTGTACTGCTATCAACATTAGAGTTATTACTTTTTGTAGTGGGCAGTGATCAATCCAGGGACACACAGTTGATCAAAATGCTGAGGATAAATGAACATGAGTGCTGACCCATGATTGGGACATCTATATCAATCCCTCTTCTAAGGCTTGGGTAATAAATATCACATTAGAGGAGGAAAAATAATGTAAGAGCCATTGGAAGGGAGATATCCTGTGAAGTGCTGATTTAAAGACATGGCATAGCTTTGCGCTGTGAACTCAGTAACTGAGGTTCCCTACAGAAGGTTTGTACATAATCAAGACAATCAAAATTCCAGCATAGATGGAGAAAGGGCTGATGAGGCTCAATTTCCAGCTGAGGAGCTACTCTGGGTGATAGTCTTTGGAGAAGGGAGAGCTATGTTTCCTTGGGAGTGTGGCCACTGGTAGCTTGCTCATGCTGTAGTGTATAACCTCATACACATACACATAGGGCAGCAACAATTAGACATAGGATATAAACAACATAAAATTTGAGTGATATCCAGTTCAGAGGGAATGTGGGGGCACTTCTAGTGGAAATTGGAGGGAGATAAGGGATGGATATGATCAAATACATATTATAATGTGTGTCTTTTTCAAGGAATTAACAAAAACACTCTAAAATCATTTTGGAATTACAATATATAATGTATACTACATTTACCATTCTATTTTCATTATTTTTAAGAAATAAATAATTATATATATATATATATATATATATATATATATATATATATATATATATATATATATATATAACCTTGTCTGGTTCAATATTGACTTCTACTAACAAGAATAGAGCTGAGATAAACATCATTATAAGGAGATATCTGAATACTATTCAGGCTGTGAATCAAGATAGACCACAATGGAATATTTCAAGATACACTGACCTCTCTCAGCTGTATTTACTTTTGTGTTTAATTCTTGGCTTATACCTACATATACACTTGATGAGAAATTATCAAATAAAACTTGTGCTAACTGTACTAAAAAGAACTCATTGCCGTGAAGGCATTCTGTGATATTTCTATATTGTTTTGAATCTTGAGAAAAACTAGAAAATTTCTCATTCTTCCTACTACTTATTTCCCTATAGGCTAAATTAACATGTTTTTTCAATATTCAGGCATGGAGTAAGTCATTCTCTGTCACTTGGAGAGCTATAGCAGCAAACAGAGTGATACAAATCCAGGCTAAATATCAGAAGCAAACTTCTAAAAATGTAACATTACAATTAAAAATGGACTCAACTAGAAAGAGAATCATGGAAACAAAGGCAAGTAAACAGTGTTATATTTTACTAATTTAAAGAAATTATTGGTACCTATATATATATAGAGAGAGGACCGATAAGAAGAAATCCTCTCTACAGCACTCAACCCATCTATTTCACCTTATTTTTGTTTTTGTTTTTTCGTAATTAAAACAGAAATCATTCAAAAGTAAGCTCAGCTTAGAAGTCTCCATTTGCTGGTTATGCACACTCCTTAGCATGTAAATGGTGTCGCATTTCAGTCAGGATCTCATAATTAACCTGTATTGGTCCTGAAGTCTGATAAACTGGAGTTTGTACCATTGTTACATTAGTTGTGAATAAGCTTTGAGTCACACTCAGTGAGACATCACTTTCTACTGTTTGCCTTAAGTGGCCTTTCCATGTCTTACCATAGCATTATGACACTAGCTGCTGTAATAACACATACATGTTCTTTTTCCATTGTTTTTCATTTAACTGTAAGCAGATTGAAAACAGAATGTCCTGCAGAGATCCTAGCATAGTTGTTGACCCAAAGCTGACTCAGAAATGCTTTTCAAGATGGAAGGATTCTATTAAAAAACAAGCTTAAATAAATTTTTTTAAATGTAAGGTGACAGAATCTGCTTTATAAGACAAAATAAATACTTTGTTAGATAGGAATAAAAACAACAACACATTCACAATTCTACTACATTATAATCTCAATGGACACAATTTCACAAGGTAGAACTGTGGCAGACTAGGCATTGAACAAGCAACCTCAACTTATATGTGGTGCTGGGCAAGATGTGTTTGGGTGGTATACAAAGTAATAATGGGTCAGGGGTGGTGCTTTTGATTAGTGAACAAATAGTACATTTTTATATAGCTCTTGGTAAAAACAATAAACGATCACACTGTTATACAGTATGTTGATAGCTCAGTTGTCAGTGAAGTAAAATGAAACAAAACAGGAATGTAACAAAGCTCATCGCTGTGGGGGATGCGCAGACAGACGCTCTCCTATATACCTGTTGTTGGTTTGCTCCTGCCACAGTGAATGGTCACACACTCGTGTGCAAATAGGCAGCACTAATTGGATGCAAGTGATCATTAATAGCAAAATTAAGCAAAGAGAGAACATGAATCTAGGAGAAAGACAGGGTAGGTTTACTAAAGGAATAGGAGGGAGATGGTGATCAATGGATAAGATCAATTTATGTGCAAGGAACTTTCAAATAATAAAAAATATTAGTAAAAATTGTATTTGATAAGACTCAACATGTTTTGATTTTGTTACATTATTGAAAATTGTTGATACGTATTTAAACTGTCAGATCTAGAAGAATTTTGATTGCTGAATCCAAAGGTTTTTACATAATTGTTTTATACACTTGATATCCTTTATGGGGCAGAGAAGTAACATACTAGCAAATTTAATAAATCATCTACCTAAATATGGGCACCAATCAGAAGATGTGTCATATGAATGAGTAAAACTATTGTGGTTTCAGAAATTGGCCCTTTACAGTAAGCATATGAGAATTCCTATCAAATAGTCAATGTAACAGGCCCTGGAGGAAAAACCAAGGTTTCTAAAGGCAAATATATGCTCTTTTTACCATGCCATGTGGTCATTTTACGATTGTTTTTTTTTTTTTTAATGATCATTGGAAAGTCCAGTACTTGTAGAACAGCAATATGTTCCCTGGCCAGATAATACTACCATTAACTGACTAACCATCCTGACTGAGAAAAATTATACTTACAGAAGAGTGTGTGAAGGTTAAACAGTCCATCCGCTTCTGTAAGTACTCTAAAGGCTTTGCTTGGCTTAAACTGGACCATGAGAAAGCTATATACTTGGACCATATTAGTTTAGCTCCTTGAAGAATTGCCTTCACTGAGTTGTGTGTTAATATAATGCCTTCAGCTTTTATTGAAGGGGACTACAAGAAACATTAATATGAAATTCATTACAGCATTTATTGTGAAAAAATGACATCACTTGATATAGTACCCAGCTCACTCTAACATAATAGCAATGGAAAAATTTTTCTTTATGAAACTTTACTTTTTCTCTTTTTTTAATTCAAAACATAGTGCCCCAAACAGAGCTACAAATTTGCTGAGTAATTACTTTAGAATGTTAAGTATAACTACAACTGTGAATTATTGTCAGTGAGCCAGCTATTACAGGATACTTGAACCTAATTTTCTTCTGTTCTTATTTCCTACTTCTACTTTATAATTTTAATATAATTATAATTTGATTACATAGCTTTTTAATAAGTTACCTGAAATTATTTTGGAACAAGACAATGTCAAAACTGCAAACAAGGGACTGAAGAGATGAATCAGCAATTAAGAGCACTGACTGCTGTTTCAGAGGACATGGGTTCAATTCCCAGCACCCATGCTGCAGCTCACAACCATCTGTAACTCCAGTTCTAGGATCTCTGATGCCTTCTTCTGGCCTCCATGGGCACCAGGTGCCCTTGGCACACAGACATACATGTAGACAAAACATCCATACACAAAATAAGATAAAAATTTAAATTTATAAATGAAAATAAATGAATAAATACACTTTAAAATGTGGTGTTATTTACAAATTAATAGAATGAATCAAAGAACAATGGTCCATTCCGTAAGCTGGCTATTATATCGTTATAGCTGTATTTTGTGTGATTTATTATCTTGTGTATTCTATGATTTTTTTTTGGCCAGTTTGAGCTTAGTTTATAAGTTTATAAGTGAAAAACAATTCAGGGAATAGATTTAAAGCTAACAATGCTTGAAAAGAGAGCTAAGGTCAATTATGTGCTAGACAGTATGTTAGGTGACAAAAGACACAATAGTTAATAAGACAAACCATAATTCTCCCATTTTCTAATCTAGTGGTAAAAATAATTATTTATAATAAAACCGTAATTTAGGGAAACTGATAGAAATCAAATTACTGCCTAGTGCTCTGGAAAATCAGAGGGGTTAATTTTATTTATGGAAGTCCGCAAGACTTTATTTTCATCAATTTGGAGTCAAGGAAAGAAAGAGGATATTAAACCAAGAAGATGCAGCATGGTAAATACTAGAGACATGAAGACCCATAAGATTTTGAGGGAAATGACTGTGATTTGTAACAGGTTAAAGCTGAATATACGTACCAACCCTGGATAACACGTACTTCAAATTCAACACTTGTAAAATGTGTGTCCATAACTAAGTCATTTTACTAAAATAATTCTCAGCCTTAAACTAAAAACATTTACAGGCTTGTAAGAATAAATGCACAATACTTTTAGAAAATTCTACCTATCATTCATCATGTAAGCAACCCCACAAGGAAACCACACATTTCGACCATATTAGCCTTGAATTACTATCTTAAGTAACTCATCATAGAGCTGAAAAGTTAAATAATTTGCATTGTGTTTTAGGTAACTTTAAGAGGACAATGTGTATTAAAGAAAAACTTGATTAAAGGCAGGAAGAAGTAAATAATCTGTAAAATAATGGTGAGATATATCATGAGGTTTGTAGGAAGGATAATTAGCTTGAGTTAATGTCAGATCCTGAGAAATATCTCCTATTTGTTGGAATGTGACATTATGCCATGTCCCTGACTGAGGTATCAATTTCTGATAAGTACCTAGAAATGAGCATAGAAAAGGTCAAAAAGTAGATTAGGTTTTATTTTCTTTGCTTGGCTGTTCTTTCTTTTTCCTTGTATTTTTTTTTCTTGTGTGTGTGTGTGGGGGGGGGGTGTAAAGAGACTGATAATACCCATGCTTATTAATGATTACATTATTGCCCATTAATAATAATTTTACAGACATCACCGTTGCACACTAACACTAGGTTTTCCAGTGCCTGAGAATACCTAAGTGATTCTGAGCTGAAGTTACTGGTGCCATTTTATTGTTAAGAACATTGAGTCAAAAGACTTTCCCACAGGGTACAAACAGTTCACCAGACACATACCAGAAGCAGCTACTCTGTCCCAACTTTCTAAGTTATTTACTTTTTAATTAAAGCATTTTAGTTCATTCATTCATTAATTTTATGTGTGTGAGTGTTTGCCCTGCTTGTATGCAGGTATACTGACTATGTTTTCAGTGCCTGAGGAGAGCACAAGAGGGTGTCAAAAAACCCTCTGCCATTACAGGTACAGACAGTGGAAACACGTGGGTTCTGGGAATCCAATCCTCCTCTGGAAGAGCAGCCAGTGTTTTTAACTGCTGAGCCAACTCTCCAGCCCCAGTCCTTGACATTTTATCACAAAATTTGTAAATGACTAGAAACATTTCAGCATAGGCAGTTCTCAAAGGTTGCAATGTTAAAGTCAGGTGGGAACAACTAGGAAATAAGATGGCTATGTGTGTGTATGATAGTCATATACACATGATGGGTATATACATATGATGAACACATATATGTGAGATATATATATATATATATATATATATATATATATATATATATGCTGGGAGATAAAAGAAAGATGTAGTTTATAATACAGATATGATGTTGAACTGTTAGACAAGAATATTGGTTATAGATCTTTGAATTGGTAATACTTCAATAATTCATGCCATATTTACTGAATATGTATAATATGTAAGATACTGTGCAACTAACCAAAAGTAAATGATTTATTAAAATAACTAAGCTGTCGTTATAATGATTGGCAGACTTAAATTACAAATATTCTTTCACAAAAATGATAAAGTATTTCCAAAACTCAAGAAAGCATACATACTTATACTTTTAATGGGACTCAATAATATTGGAAAGAAGTACTCAGAAATGACATCAAAAACTGAAATTTGTGTCAACAACAAGCAAGAATTATGTGATTTGTGATAGCAAATGAATCTTGCAAATATTGTCAGTATAACCTGGAATTTGAGAACCACATTGTAAACAATAAGACACAAACAAAAGCATCTAAGAAGGCTGACTTGGCTTTGTCTGGGGAACATGAGCATGCCAGAGAAGCTCGATGCATCTGACTCTGGCACAGGACTTCACAGTATGGAATGAATTGTGCAGCTGCCAGAGTGTGAGCAAAGGATGCTGACATTACTGAAGCATTTCTTAATGAAAAGAGAAAATGTTGCCGAGTTGGACCCAAGACAGTGTCTTCAACAAAGCAGCAGAAGGCTCAGTGAGGATCCCAAGGGGAAGTGGAAACTCACATCCTATTAAGTTAGGGAATGCAAGTTATGGGGCAGTGAAGGGAAGAATCTCAGGGTACAGAGGACTAAGAACTGAAGGAAAAGAAAATGACAGGGGAGAACTCATTTCACAGAGCTTGGGTGGTAAAAGGACAGTGGAATCAGGGGATCGGTGTGGAGAGAAACAATGATGTAAGATCTAGATGGTCCTCCTTTGCTTTTATGGCAAGTTAACTAAGCCTCTTTGTAGGAAAATATGAAAGAGGTAGTAAAACAGCAAAAGGTCGTTTTCAAGAAATAAAGCAAGAAAGTAACAATGGGTGGAATAAGTCTGAGAAAGCAGCACTAGAGGCTTAAGTAACAGAAGTGGAAGCCTAGTTAGGGCCTAGAGAAGGGCCACAGGACATAGGGTCTTTTAGAAGTACTTGGGGGCTCTATCAACAGACACTGTGTCTTTTTAGAATTTGACTCTTTGATACACTTTTAAGAATGAAATTTTCTTCGCTCATGTCACAACTGAGGCTAACATAGTAAGTATAAAGATTCTTCAAGACCCTAGGGTTCAAAGGTAGCTGAAGCATAAAAGCATGGCTTTGTTAATTATTTTTTAAATAAAAATCTTAAATATCATTTGTTCACAATCTTGTATGTAAAGTCTAGAGTCTAGACAGATTAAATTTAAGTACACGTTTCTTGTTTTTCAACACAGTGTTGGACATATATCTCTTAAGTACTTTTTTGTGTGTCAAGTTAATACTCTGTATTTTAATAAAACATTTAAGGGCTCTCGATGTTCTTTGTGCTGACTGAGAATAGGACTTTATTCACTTATGTTTATAAATACCCAAAGCAAAAGGACTACCTATGGACAACTGATTGTGAAAGGACAAAAAATTCTGTATGTCAAGAAAACCCTTATCAGCCTAAAAATTAAATCTGATTAAACTGAAGCAGAAGGCAGGATTCAGTGAAACGTCTCTGGGCAGCTAGTCACCTGTTGGCACTCGACTTGATTTTCTTTCATCTCTAAATACCTCCTTATTTTCAAAGTAAGTTAAGGGAATATAGCTCCAATTTCATTTTAATAAAGAAATTGGATAAAGTACACATGTAAACACAGCATTATAAAGTTGTTTAACACCTTTCAGTTAAGATGAATAGGCTCCCTCATTAGTGTGTTACCATATTTATAATAAAAATAATTTACCCAACAACAACTTTGAAAGAGCCTAAGGTGCACCATCCTAGTCACACCCCGTCTATGGAGAAAGTATATGTATAACCAATATAGTTAAAGAGAAGTAATCACCTAAATAAAATGAATAGTAATTCACTATGTGGGGAATGAAAACAACACAAATCAACAATAAAATGTAATGGAAATGCTGGAATCAACCAGAAGTTAAGCATAGAAAATTTATTAAGTCCCTTTCAATATCTCATCACTACTTCTGTTAGTAGGTAAAGGCCACTTACAAATAAACTAACAACTACAATTAGAATTTCTGTAGCTTATAAATGAGAAAAAACAATAAGTGTTTAAACCGTAACATTCAAGCTTTGTGTCATTAAACTGTAACATGGTATAGAAATGAAATATGTAAATATATACATACTTTCAAATAACTAAAACAAAAATCAAATCACAATGAAGGTGTCCCAAATTTTATGGGAAAAATCATATAATAAAATGTTCAAAGCTGTCAGAATATTCTACCACTACTAAAATTATTTATAGCGTGTTAAAATATATAGTCTTTTCCTAAAGCAAATAGCAATTTATACAATTAGAAATAAAATGACTGATGTATCTATACACAAATATCTCATTAGCCTCAATACTTGAGACATAAAAATGTATGTGTCAATAATCTTAAAAAATAACATTAAAAGTTAGTTTTCCCCAATTAGACCCCATGAGCAATTTAAAAATCCTTGGATATTTCTTTATCCACATATTTGCTTCATATGGTATCATAAAGATAAAGTGCTACCTTCAGTCTTACAAAGTAGTAATAGAAATACGGATGGGTGAAGAGTCATTGACCCACTGTCAGAGCCACAAATTCTTCAATAGGTGAAATTAACGCTCACTTTCTTTTAAAAGCTCTATCCTAATGTTTCATGATAGATTAAAGGCATGAACTTTATGGGTAGACAGACCTGGGTTCCAGTGCACTTACTGGTCAATTGTATGAGCTGGAGCCAATAAAGAGCTATAATGAGCTTGACATTCTTCACTATGGAAGACTAGAATTAAGAAGATACCCTTCTTACTGTAAACTTGAGAGAGAGCGTGTGTGAACACGCAACATGGCTGGACACAGAACTCCACAGATGCTGAGGAGTGGTTTTAAGAAGTGTCACGATTACAAGCATTCTAAAAGGATTTCAAGCAAGAACAAACTTTTTAAAATTGATACCGAATTTCTCAGTATCAAATTATAGGAAGAACTCTGCCACAAGCTTGAATGTATGCAAAATTCTCTTCAGTAGATGAGCAGCGAGCTCACACTTACCTTGTCATTTACTACACTCTTCCCATCCCAAGCCCATCCTCTTTTGGTGAAGTAATTCACGGTCGCAAATTCAATTAGGGCCGAGAACACAAATGCATAACAAACAGCAATGAACCAGTCCATGGCGGTGGCGTAAGCCACTTTGGGGAGAGAATTTCGAGCACTGATGCTGAGTGTCGTCATTGTGAGAACAGTTGTCACTCCTGTAAAAGACAAGAAACAGAAGCACAGTGAGTGGCGGGAAGAGAGAGAATCCCAGAGTTGGTCTTTTCCTTCTCTGGAAGCTATGTTTTGTTATTTCTACCCACGAGAAAGTATTAGCAAAGAGTTCAAGTTGGTTATACTTAGTATGACAGTATGATAATACTTCTGGAAATAGAGACACCAAACAGAGCCTGAAAGTGTCTTCCTTTTTTCACTTTCTTCTACATTGGCTCCATTTTCTCTTAGTACGGTTGATATTTAAAAAGACTGGTGGTAGTGTGGCACTGTTAGGTGTGACAAAACATAGGCACTTTAGAGTGACCTGTTACTCTTCAGCATTGACATAAGAACTCATCGACAATACCTCATAATAACATTGATTGTTTTATTTAGATGAATCATGCGAAAACACCTGAGCAAACCCTCACACTAGTTACAGTGGAATTATGATTGAGGAGTGATTAACATGTTTTCTTTTATTTAAGCAATGCTGTGCTGTGTATGTAAGGAATTAACTCTGGTTTTGAAGAGGTCTGATCTCTTTTGTAACATCATATAAATTTGGTTAGAAATGAAACAAACTGCTAGGAACAAAACTTGTAAAATAGAAATATTCATTTGAAAAGAATTATAAAGTCCCATTTGAAGAATGAAAAAAAATACATGAAGTTATCTGCTGTAGAAAGAGAGAGAATGTCTTCTCCAGGGAAAAGCTCCTGATAGCCAATCTAATCTTAAGTGGTCAGTTCTAATCACATACACATGTAAACAACACTAAATGGAGGCAATAGGCTCTCTCTCTTTCAGTCTGTCTGTCTGTCTGTCTTTATGTATATGTAGCAATGATTAAAGAGGAATTCCATGAATTTGAGAGCAAATGGAGGACCCAGGAGGATTTTAAAAGATAAAAGGGAGAGGTAAATGATGTCATTATAGTATCCATATGTGAGGAGACGTTTTAAATTTTCAAATTAAAGGATATTTCATACATTTTGCGTGCCCCCCCCCGCAAAAAAAAACTATATAATTCCTTTCTCCTATAGCTTTCTTTGCTAGTGGCAAACAACTCACATTTATAAGAAAAAAGAAGGTGTTAAGTGAGGCAGGAAGCTGCAGCACCAGCAATTAAAGGCTACCATCAACTGAAGGTCCCACAGAAGCTTAACTGCATGCATGGGGGATATACAAAAGAAAAAGAAAGTAAATGGCTTAAGGATATTGCTCAGGAATAGTCTAGTCACTCAGCTTGGATGAGACCATAGTTCTAATCAACAACATCAAAAAAGGAAGTAAGAAAATGTGTTAGATGGTTTTATGTCAATTTGATGCAAGCTAAAGTCATTTGACTGAAGGGAACCTCAATTAAGAAAATGTCTCCAAAAGATTTGGCTGTTCGCAAACCTTTAATGTATTTTCTTGATTAGTGATTGATGGGTGAGTACCCTGCCCATTGAGGGTGGTGCTACACCTAGGTTGGTTGTCCAGGGTTTTATAAGAAAACAGGCTGAGCAAGCTATGAATAGCAAGTCAGTAAGCTTCAACCCTCCATGGCCTCTGCATCAGCTCCTGCCTCCAGATTCCTGCCCTGTTTGAGTTCCTGTCCTGACTTCCTTCAGTGATGAACAGTGATGGAAGTGCAAGTCAAATAAACCTTTTCCTCCCAAAGTAGCTTTGATCACAGTGTTTCCTCACAGCAATAGTAATCCTAACCAAGACGAAAGAAATATACTCCACTTTAGATAATTTGAAGATTTGAGGGCTATTTTATGTTTCACTTTCCCTTGGGATAAGGCAGCATTGGCCTCTCATGTAAAATAAAATCACTAGCAAAAAGTAACAATTATTCCATTCAGTTATGGGTGAATTCACAGAATATGGTGGTGACTGTGGAAATAAAAGGTTGGAAAATAAACTGATCTCACCTGCTGCTGAGTCATATTAAAAACACTCATAACTCCAGCAAGATGGCTCAGCTCATAAAGGCACTTGTCATCAAGCCTGATGATTACCTGTGTTCAATCTCTGTGATTCATGGTTGAAGAAGAGAATAAACTCTCAGAAATTGTCTTCAACTTCCACATGCACACACACACACACACACACACACACACACACACACACACACATGCACACTAAGTAAAAGTAATTAAATGGCTTTTAAAAAGAGTTAAAAACATTAAAAAATACTTTTTCAACAGAAATAAATGATGTTTAATGCATCATATTGAAAGGTTTTATACTGATGGATATTTTCTTTCCATATTTTTGTTCAAATGGACAAATGGATACATCCAAATGTACAACTGTGTGTATTCATATGTCTGTAATATAATAAGCAAGAATGAAAAGACATCCTGCCTACAAGAAATCCTTTTGTTTTGTTTTGTGACTCACTGAATTTAACCAAGGCTATCTGTGTGACCACAGACATGAAACTATTCCTTAGAACATGGTGGTTTCCTCAGTAGCTATATAACTGAAAAGAATGTTGCTCCACCCACAGAATCTACTAGCAGCTACTAGGTTACAGTGCACACATCATTCAAACCTTTAATTTATTTACTGGTTTTTCATTTACTTCTTTGCTAATACAAATGTAATGATTTTAACATTATTTAAATAATTCACTGGTGACATAGCAGAAACAAAACTGCATTTTCATTTTGTACTCTACAAATTTGATGAATATAATAATAGTTCCAGTATTTCGTGTTGTTCATTACAGATGTCATTTATATAAAAAATTACGTTATAAGCAAATACAGTTTTACTTTTTTTCTTCCATTTTTCATGCCTTTTGCTTTTAATCTATAATTTTTCTGTTAAGAAACAGTATAATATTTAAGGAATTAATAAAAATAGAAATGTCTTGTTTATAATATTAAAAAGGAAAGATTTGTCCTTTTCCTATAAATATATGTTACCTGTAGTTTTTGTTAGATGCTTTATAAAAGGCTGAAGAAATTCTCTGCTATTGCAGGTTTTTTGGTGTCATTTTTATAACAAAAACATTTTTATTTTGTTAAAAGTTACTTATCTATTGAGATAATAGGAGTTTGTAGGCGGGACAAGGAGGAGAATAAAGCTGGGAAGTGGAAGGCTGAGTCAGAGAGACACTGCCAGCCACCACGAGGACAAACAGCATGTGAAGATGCCGGTAAGCCATGAGCCATGTGGCAAGGTATAGATTAATGGAAATGGATTAATTTAAGCTGTAAGAACAGTTAGCAAGAAGCCTGCCACGGCCATACAGTTTGTAACCAATATAAGTCTCTGTGTTTACTTGGTCGGGTTTGAGCAGTTGTGGGACTGGCAGGTGAGAGAGATTTGTCCTGACTGTGGGCCAGGCAGGAATACTCTAGCTACAAGAGTTTTTTTTTTTTTTTTTTTGCAATTGCAATTGCCAGTAATAATCTTCATTGTAATGGCTGAGTTTTATGTCAAGCCAACCTTGCATTCCTATGATAAATTGTAGCCAGGATGCTGAATTATTTTAAAACATGCCTGGTTCAATTTTCTTTTATTCTGCTATGAGAATTATATCTAAATTCTCAAAGATTCTGTGCGTTGCTTAGTTTTTGCTTGTTTTATTTTGTTCTGTTGATAATATACCTATATACCTGTATATAGAATGAAACAGGGAGTGTCTGAATGATTAATGACAATCCTTCACTATTTGGTAGAACCCACTAGAGATGCCATTTGACACTGAACTTTGCTTGATTGGAAGTTTTTCATTCCAAAGTTGATAGCCTTATTTGCTATAAGTTTGTTTATGGTACTACATCAATTTGAGCAACTTTTTTTTTTTTTTGTAGAAACTAGCCCATTTAAAGTTTCCAAACTGTCAGCATACAACAGCTAGCAAAATAATCATGTGACTTGCATTTTTTCCTATGGTCACTAGTAATATCCCCCTTACACAAAGAGGCACACACACACACACACACACACACACACACACACACACACACACACACACACACGAGGTATGCCAGTTGGGCTGAAGACACATTGCTTAAGACATAGGACTTGGATGATTTGAACTGGATCTGACCTGAAGAGCCTCTTTCCTGAAGCCTAGCTTCCGTGGCTCCAGCAAATACTATGAAAGGTGCCAGAGGAGGGAAGAAACTCACAGTCTGATCCAGCTCCAATACCTGTGAAGCACAGCAGTGACTAGCATGGCAAGATGGGGGTCGAGGAGCAATAGTGGGGTTCAGAAATTGGTGATAGCAAATTGTTGTCTAATTGAACTTAACTGGAGGGAAATCGTGCCTGGTACTGAAAACCTAGTTATCTTCCCAGGACTAGTTAAGTCATGAACATTAGAAAAGACTCTACTACTACCATTTTGCTAGTCCAGAATAATTCCATACTACATTTGAAATCTTATCCTTTTATCCACAGATAAGTGTAGCTACCACCCCTCATCAAAGAAATCACTCTTCACAATAAATGGAGATCCTCGCAGATTTGGACAGAATGCATACATCAGCATAGTGAGCCAGCCCCAACCGCTTTTGGATATCTGAGACCTTTCTCTTTTATTCTTGACCAAGCTACCTAAAACTTAATGGATTTTTAAAATCTTTTTGAATGCTGATTTTTTTCTACTACTCTATTTTTTTGTTTCACCTTTATACCATCACGAGTATTTCATTCACAAAATATATTAAGGTAATGCACATTAAGGTCATGTGAGATTCTAACTGGGGGCAAGCCAGCAAGGAAAGAGAGTGAGAGAGAAAAGGTACAGAAAGTAAGAGAAGGGAGGATAGAAGAAAGGAAGTACAAGACGCAGGTAGAGAGAGTGAGAGAGAGGGAAAGATAGAGGGAGAGAGGGGGGGGGAGAGTTTAAGGCTTGTCCTTGAATAGCCCTGGCTTTGTGTTTCACTATCAATTTTTTTTTTCAGGAAGCATTCCTAACCATTCTGACGTCATCCACTATTAGGCTCTCACTAGCAGCTAAGCAAATGGATCCACCTCATCTTAGAAA